GTGTGGGCAGGGCGGGGAGCATGGACAGGGTGGGCAGTGGGCAGCACAGACAGGGTGGGCAGGGTGAGCAGGGTGGGCAGTGGGCAGCACAGACAGGGTGGGCAGCACGGACAGCACAGCCAGCCCTCCACAGCTCCCTCTCCCCACCCTGTCACACACTGACATTTACAACCGGCTCTTATTAAGGTTGATGATGTCTCTGAGGCTCTTGGACAGCTCAACAGCAGAGCCCATCCGTTTAAATTAAACAGGGATATATGGGGGAGGGCTCCAAAGGGGACCATTTGTCCTGGAGACAGGCAGGACACGGGCTCCATGTCACCCGTGGTGGTGACAACAGGCTGGGGTTGCTATGTGTCACACAGGGACCCCGAGACTGGGTAACCACTGGGGTCACCCAGGAGCTCCCAGTGGGGCAGAACCCCCCTGAGCAGCTGAGCGTGGCCAGGAATTCTGCACGCCAAGCACATGGAGCAGAGCCGGGGCCCATCCATCTCCCACTCGCCTCCAAGCCCTCCAACCATAAATCAGGGAGGCTGGAGAGGGGGGAGCAGCACGCTCAAATTACCCAGATGGGTTTGCCAAACAAATACATCTGAATGAAACAATTAATAGATTTCTTTTTTTTTTAGCTTTACAACCCTTGGAGGAAAGTGCAGAGGAAAAAAAATGTATAAATGGAACAAATTAAGGCAGTCCGTGGGCAGGAAGATAAAGGGAGTCACTCCATCTCTGTGACTCCTGCCCCAGGTGCACCAGCCCGGTGTCACCAGTGTCCCCCTGCCTGTTCCTGGTACCTGTCTGGGCCATGTAGACCCCGGGTTCATCCGCTGACCGTGGCCACTGGGTCTTCACCTTCTGGTTCTCCTCAACCGCATTGCCTAAGAAAGAGAAATGCCCAAATGAGAGTGGGCAGGGGGACAGCGATGGGGGCAGACCAGCATAGGACATTCCAGGGATGTCTGGCCCCATGCTGGGCACCCATGGCACTCCTGAGAGCAAGCCCTGGCTGAGCATCACTGAGCACACTCCCAGCTCCCCAAAATCTGCCCAAAAAGTGTCACAGGGTTGGCAGCTGGACCCCAGCCCCGGGTGCCACGTCCCTGGTGCAGGCAGGGTGCCTGTGCCCCACTGTGCCAGGCAGAGGTGCTCTCCCGTCCCCACTTATCTGCTCTCTGCAGTGAGGTGGCACAAATTTATGTCTCGGCTCACCAAAAATAACAAGTGATCCATCAAGAGCACTTGGCGTGAAATTAACTGGCATGTGCAGGGCTCGGCAGGGGACGCGGCTACAGGCACAGGGGGACGCCTCCCTTGGCCTCCCCCACACCCCAGAACACCTCCTGCCCTCCAGAGGGACTCTTGTCCCCAAATCTGGGCCCTGGAGCTCCCCTGGATCGATCCCAGCTGTTCCTGCTGGATGTGCTGTGGAGGACAGGGGCACAGCACCACTGATGCCACCCCAGGGATGTCACCCCCAAAAATGCTCTGGTCACCCCACTGCTGTGACAGCCAGGGGAGCAGCCAGGGATGGCACCAGCACCTTGTCGAGCTGCCAACCAAACACGCCCCCAAGGGATGGAGGGGAGGTGGCCTGGGGACACCTGGCACTGGCAGAGTGCTTTGGGCACATGGTGGCTCCCGCTGGGACACAGAGCGGGGACGCCCAACCCCAGGCAGGGAGCACAGCCTGCTCTGGCACTGACTATGCTGTCAAAAAGCCCCAAATTTACCCAGTTTTGCCTTAACCCTTCAGGGCTCCCCGCTGGCACCCTCAGATCCTTGGACATCCCACACCAGGGCATGGAATTCCTGCTGGCATGGGAGACACAGGGGGACTCAGGGACAGTGAGGGGATACTCAGGGGGGTCTGTGGGGCCACCGGGCTGAATTCCCAACAGGGCCAAACCCCCCGCTCCCCCTGGGAATGCCACAGCAGAATTACACACAGCACGGCAAGAGCCTGGGGAAAACCATAAATCCCGAAGATATATGAGGGCGTTCTCCCTGGCTGTGTTCAACAGAGACACCAAATTCAATTTCCTTTGGAGAGCACTAAATCCTCGGCTGTCACCACCAGGAGGCTGTGGCCAACCCCAGCAGCGCACCCCATCCTGCCCGGGGGCCCCCCAGCACCCCACCACGGCACAGCTGGTGGGTGCAAGGATTGGAGGTGATTCCAGGGACATCAGAGGTGTTCCTTTGGGGACCTCAAGGTAAATCCCAAGGTTGGTTGTGTCCTTGTCCTGGCAGCACCTCACTTGGGGTTGGTTTGTGAACAGGGGTGGGTTTGGGGTGAGGGAAACCCAAAACTGGAACTGTTTGGCCTCACTGACACAGCAGAGTCACCCAGAGGCCATGAAAAAGAGGGGGTCACCCTTCTGGAGTTCTTTAGAGCCTGGAGCTCCAGAGCTGAACACACCCAAAGCTCCCCCACCAAACTCCAACCCATCCACGCTTCCCGCCCATGTGCCTCCAAGCGCATCCCTGAATCCCCCTGGGAGAGCCTCCCCACGGCGGGGATGACGTGGGCGCTGGGGACCCTGGGGTCACCGCTGTGGGGAGGCTCTGGGCAGGTGCCAGCCCCACGTCGCTGCGGCGGAGGAGCCGCTGAGATCAGCGCTGGGCGCCCGCCAAGCCTCGGCTCACAGGCGCCATTCAGCCCCCCGGCCCTGTGTGCCACCATCCCCCTGAAAGGGGACCATTCTCCACCCAAGGGGGCCGGGGGGAGGCCAGGTGGGAGCCCGGGACCCCCCCTCGCCGCATGAAGGGCGCTCTGTGCTGCGGCCTCGCAGCTCGGCACGGTGACACCCGGGGGGGGACGGTGGCAGCGGCGTGGAACGAGGGGTGGCCGAGGCAGAGCGTGGCCCCCGTGGCTCCGGCACCGCAATAACACTGAGCCCCCGGGCGCTCCAGCCTTTAATTGAATGTCAAATGTAATTTGGAGAAGGAGCCGGAGTTTGCGCTGCGGCCATCGCAGCTGGAGAGACGGAATGTGGCACTGAGCCCTGCCAGCTCTGCAGGGACACCCCTGGCCAGCGCCCTGAGCCACGCTCGGGGGAAATAACCCCACTGAGCCACCCCCTGTGGATGTGCTGGATCCCCTGGAGGAGAATCCTCTTCTCCATCCTCTTCTGGATCCCCCTTCTCCATTCTGCTCTGGATCCCACTTCTCCATCCCATCCTGGATCCCCCTTCTCCATCCCATCCTGGATCCCCCTTCTCCATCCCATCCTGGATCCCCCTTCTCCATCCCATCCTGGATCCCCCTTCTCCATCCTGTTCTGGATCCCGCTTCTCCATCCTCTTCTGGATCCCCCTTCTCCATCCCATCCTGGATCCCGCTTCTCCATCCCATCCTGGATCCTTGTTCTCCATCCTCTTTTGGATCCCCCTTCTCCATCCCATCCTGGATCCTGTTTCTCCCCAGACATCCCCTGGCCACAGCAGGTGTCACTCCTCGGGCACAGGACCATCCAGGCTGACCTTGGGGCTGGCACCTGACCCTGGTGCTGAGCTCTGAATCACCCAGTGGATCTCTACACCCCGGGGGGGGGGGGGGGGGGGAACCCCAAAAACGCAGAAAAAAACCCATAAAATGAAATCAGCTCAAACAGCTCCCCTTGGGACAAGGCGATTTAGAGTCCTGCAGCTGTAACAGACCAGGGATTTAGTGGGGGATCTGCCCGTAATGACATTTAGCTCCTGAAATAAATGCTAAAGCCCAATGAAATTATCTCTACACCCCCGGCCCGGCCCCGCCACCTAATCTGCCGGATAAAGACCCCGCGCAGCCCAGTTGGGGATTGCCCCTGCCCGCGCATCACCCTGAGGCTGCTGAAGGGAACATCTGGCCAGATGTGTCCCAAAACCCCCGCATCACCTCGCCGAGCTTGGCGCTGCCGGCACGGGCAGCACCGGGACAGCCCGATCCCGGTGCCGGCTGCTTTATCCTCAGCCATTCCTACAATCCCGGAACGAGCAAATGGCCTCATTCCTCCTGGTTAATAGCCCGGCCGCCGTGCCGTGACATCCTGCCTGGAATAACAAGCGCCCGGGCTGCAGCAGTCAAGGGTAATTTGCCACGGGAAAGGGTCATTTTACCTGCAAATTGTTTTCCACGTCTCCACCAAGGCAGAATGTGTTGGCTTCTGCTCCTGCCCCGTGCCAGGGAGGCAGCAAGTGAGGCCAGGGAGCCACGTGGGATGTGCCAGAGCAGCCGTGGCACCAGCCCTGGCAGCGGTGGGGTCACCGTGGCATCCCAGGGAACATTCCCAGGGCCACGGCAAGGGCAGAACAAGCTGCAGCTCAGCGGGTTTGAACTTCGCATGGATTTCCTGCTCCATGCAGTGTCCCATTGGAAACTTCCAGCCCTGAGGGAGTATGCTCAGGCATCTCCCATCTCATTCCATGCATTCTCTGCCCCATGCACCAGCTTTCCTGCTCCACGCAGAGCACCCAGCTGCACCCTCCAGTCCTGTGGAGTGTGCTTGGGAAGGATTCATCCATGCCATGACTTCCCTGCTCCATGCCCAGCATCCAACTGGCACCAATCTTACACCAGGAGTGCACATGGGCAGGATCCATCCATTGCACAGAATCCCTGCTCCATGCCCAGTGCCCCACTGGCACCCTTCAACCCCAGGATCCATCCACTGCACGATTTCCTGCTCCATTCCCAGTGCTCCACTGGCACCCTCCAGCTTCAGGATCCATCCACTGCACGATTTCCTGCTCCATTCCCAGTGCCCCACTGGCACCCTCCAGCCCCAGGATCCATCCACTGCATGATTTCCTGCTCCATTCCCAGTGCCTCACTGGCACTCTCCAGCCCCCAGATCCATCCATTGCACGATTTCCTGCTCCATGCACAGTTCCCAGTTGGCACCTCCCAGTCCCAGGATCCACCCACTACACGATTTCCTGCTCCATGCACAACTCCCCAGATCCCCATGGACCATGCAGAGGCAGAAAGTGCCCATTCCGTGACCACTAGCAGCATGCAGGGAGCCCCTGCGCTGCACAGGGGGGTCCATCCCGTGTCCCCACTCACCGTGTGGCACCTCGGGCAGGTCGAGCTCGTTGGCATTCGCAGAATGCAGCTCGGTGGGGCAGCAGTCGGGGGCGGCGGGCACCGGGGTGGGCACGGGGGCGGGGGGCCGGGTGCCGTTGCGCCGGGGAGCTGGAGGGCTCTCGGCCTGACAGCTGCAGCCGGCGTGAGTGAAGCCACAGCGGCGAGCACCGGGAGCCTGCAGGCACTCCTCGAGCCAGCGGCACAGCACGCTGCAGGTGAACTGGCTGGAGTTGTTGTTGTTGATGAGCAGCACCTCCACGAAGCGGAATTCCAGCGCTTGTGGCTCCAGCAGCCGCGGGGCCGCCTCGGGCTCGGCTGCCAGGCACAGCTGGACGAAGTTCTTGTCGAAGTGCAGGAAGGTGAAGGGCCCCGCGCCCTCACACAGCTCCAGCTCGGCTTCCTCATCCTCCTCCTCCTTCTGCTGCTGCTCCGGGGGCTGCACGGGCACAGGGCTGGCCTCGCCCCGGGGGTCGCAGGTGTAGTTGGCCAGGTAGTGGTCGAGGGGCAGCACCATGGGCGAGAAGTGGGTGCAGACCTGCTCCTCCCGGTTGAAGCGGAGGTAGAGCGAGTACTTGGTGGGGTCGGGGTTCTCCAGGGTCCAGGAGCAGCCGGAGGAGATGGTGGGGAACAGGTCCTTGAGGGAGAAGGAGCCGTAGAGGACGCCGGAGGCCAGGGCGGAGCAGGCACTGGGAGCCGGGTCGAAGCCCCGCGTGAGCCACAGGACAGACGATATCACAGCCAGTAAGAGGGGACCAGCAGCGGTCATCCTATGGCATTTGCCCTGCAGACAGACAGATGGACACATGGACAGAGGCTTACCCAGAGGTTTGGCCACTGTGGAGCTGGGCTGGGGGTCAGCACCCTGCCCTGAATCCAGCTGGTGCGGGATCCCAGTTACCCCATGTCCCCTCCTGGTTCATGTCCCCCCCAAAGTGGTCCATGTCCCCATCTGCCACCTTGCAGGGTTACAGGAGACTTCTTGTGCCAATGTGTCCCCAGCTTCGGGACACTGCAGCACAGAGTGAAGACTTCACCCCAAAACCACCAGAGCAGAGACCCAGCCCCGTAGGTCCCCCCTGCAGTGACTCCCCCATCCTCAGCTCACCCCCCACCCCGAGCTGGCCAAGCGCAGCCTCGGCAAGGAGCCACCAAACAACTTCAGAAAGAGCTACAAAAGCCCTTGGAGCAAATTCTGGTGACCTGGAGCACGGTGGGGACAGGCTGGCAGCTCAGGGTGACGTGCTGGGGGTGCACAGTGACACCCCAGCAGTGTGGTGTCCCCACAGCTGTCCCAAGAGCCGGACACAGGGTGAGCAGTCACTCTCAGTACAGATTTCTTGGATACTTCTCCGGGAATGCAGAGCATCACACCGTGAATGGCTTTTTAATACCTCATTAATAAAATAATGCACGTGGTGGCCTTATTAAGTGAGCCCTGAGCATGGCTCTGCAGAAGCCGAGGCCCCGTGCACGTGTCAGCATCACTCAGCCTATGCCCGGGGCAGTGGTGGCAAGGGGACAGCCCTGGGGACAGCAGGGGACATTCAGGAGGTGACTACAGGGCCAGATGCCATGGCAGAGGTTGATTCCAAAATCACTGAGGTTACCGCTCGCCCAGCCGTGTGCTGGGGATGCCGGGCGCTCGGCACGGCACGGGGGATGCTCTTCTCCACCCTCAAACAGCAAATCCTGCTCCCGAACCACCCCTGGCCAAGGCGGTGATACCGGGGCATCCCCCGGCTCACCGGGAGGGACACGGAGCCTTGGCCGAGCCTGCGCTGGAGCCACTCCGGGGACATTAGAGAGCTAAAAATATCCCGATTCTCATGCACCAGGCTGGCACCGGCTTCTGCGGCCCCGGCAGCACGGGGGGGCTCGGTGCTGGCATTCCCCCGCTCCAGGGCACGGGAGAGAGGGGCTACGATGTAGCCAGCGGGAGCAGACAGGGCTGGACGCCGGCTGGACCTCCCCGCTGCAAGCAGGGGGATCTGGGGCAGGAGAAAACCCCGCTTTCCGAGAGTAACTTCCAGCCAGAGACCCCAGGAAATGCAACAGGAGAGACCCGAAAGCACCGAATTCCAACTGCAGCCGGAGCAAGGAGCAGCACGGGCATCCCCCGCTGGTGCTGCTAGAGCGGCCACCAAGGACCTGGGGTCCCCCAGAGAGCCGCAGCCCCCTCCGCTGCTCCGGGAGAGCCGGGGGTGCGGGGAGGCAGGAGGAAGAGGAAGAGGAGGGAGAGGAGGAGGAGGAGGAGGGAGAGGAGGAGGAGGTCAGGCAGGGACACGCTGCTGCTCTGCAGCGAGCTCCTGGGGCTCCCGCAGACTGGCAGGGACACAAGATGGTGCTTGCTTCCCTCGCCCAGGAACAGCGAGCAGGGACGCTCCGGCACCACCATCCATCCATCCATCCATCCATCCATCCATCCATCCATCCTTTATCCATCCATCCCGCCCGCTGCCCAGACAGCCGCTGGAAGGCTCGGGGATGGACACAGCCGGGCAGCCCACGCCTCACCTCTCCAGGCATGCATGATCCAGGTGTTCTGGGATACGGGGGAGCTTCCTCCCAGCCCCAAAACCTGCGGGGCTGCACGGCACCGAGCCACGGCCGGGGCTGAACCAAAGCTGCCGGAGCTCGCTCGGCACCAGCCCCGCTCCCTGCAGCTCCCGAGCCGCCGCCGCTGCTGCTGCCGCTGCTGCAGTGAAAATATTTCGCTGAGCTGCGAGCCGGGCCGAGGAGATATTTAACATCTGGGCCACCGAGTCACCCGGCGGGAGCTGCCGGCGACTGGTGACCTCGCACCCTGCAGCGTCACCGTCTGCGTCCTCCGGCCCGGGGGAGCCCAGCCCGGCCGCGGTGCCAGAGCTCGGCATCACCCCCAGTGCCTCCCAAAGCACCTCGCTCCATGCGGAATGAACCACCCGGCAGCCGTGAGCGCATCCCGGCAGCGCTGCCGGCTCCCTGGGGACAGCTGCCGACCACCCAGGGACCCCCCGCACCCCTCTGGAGAGTGGCTGGTGCTCATGGAGGACTGCGATGTCACCCGGAGCGCGGCGGGCACAGCCTGGCACTCTCGCCCGCCGCAGGCGCCCGCTCCAGCCCCTTCCATCTGCCTTTGTTCCTGCCCGGGAGCAGGGAAAGGGGGTGGGTTTAAAGCTTTAATTAAAGCTTTTAAAGAGCCATCACAGAGCTGGGAAGCGCCCGGGCGGGAGGAAACGACAGCCCGGGCTCCACGTCCTCGGAGAGCGGTCCCTCTCCATCACTGCCGGCGCATTCCTGACGGAATATCGCTCCGGGAAGAGCAGGATCCGACCGGGGCTCGGCTCTCCCTGGCCACGGCACGGCACTGCTCCCGATGCACAAACAGGTTGTTTCCCTGAGGACGTTTTCCCTGGATATTGGCTGGATCCCGGTCCAGCTCCATCATCCTGGCATGGCAGGAGCCCAGATCGTGACCGTCTCCAGGCAGGAAAAGTCAGGGACAACCAACCAGTCCCCAAAAAAGTGATAAATGGGCAGTACTAAACCTCTCGCCATCAATAATCTGACAAACTATTAATGGCAGAGTAAAGGAGATTTGGGGGTGGAGGGGTGTGGTTTTTAACTCAACTGTTCTTTTAACAGCCTGCAGAAAATACAAAATCCATGGGAAAAAAGACCTGATCCATGAAAATCCCTAACATGAACATGGCTTAGGATAAAGGAATAAAAAGTAAGGAAGGGCTGGGGCATCTTGATCCACCGTGGAACAGCCTCACTTCCCTGCCAGAAGGAACAGGCTGGCCCCTGGCACGGCACGGCTCCATGTGGGGCTCCATCCCATGGGATCCCATGGATGTCACCCGGAGGTGACAGCGACAAAGGCAGCACCACAATGAGCGATTCCTGCTGCGAGAACCTACCAGGATCTTCCCCGGCTGCTCAAAGGCATCCAGGGACTCCAAAGCTGCTCCAAAGCACCTCCATGGGGACCCCCAGCACTGAGCTGGGGTGTCCTGAGCCTTCCCAGCCCCTCCACCGACAGATCAGCACCGTTCCTGGGAAAAACTCCACTGCATTCCCAGCCTCCAGCCCGAAAACGCGGATTCCTGCCCAGCACATGCTTGCACACACGTGTGCACACACACACACCCAGCAGGGACAGCGACATCCGAGCTGCTTCCACTCGCTCTGGCACGGTTCCCCCAGTGTCCAGGACCATGTTTCCCCTCCCTTCCATAATTCCACATCTCCCTTCTCCCTCTGGCTCCCCGGCGTGCTGCCACGGCCTCTCCTGGAGCCGGCAGGCTGGCAGTGGTGCCGAGCTGTAATTAATGGTGCAGCTTTGCCAATCCCTGGCGCGGCCTCGCGAGCACTGGCAAGCACAGGCCTCTTTATTTATTTTACTTAGCTGCTGTTGGTAAAACTCCACTCCAAAAGCAAGGCCAGGAGACAGCACAGAGAAATCTCCGCCTGGATCAGGGATTTGCTCTGCCAGGGAACGGCGTGTGCTGCCTCCCCCCGGCTCTGCACGGCTGGGGGGTCCCTGGAGACAAAGCCCCCCCACAGCTACAGGGGCTGCAGCAGCCACGGCACTCCTACCGCCTCTTCCAAGGAGTTTCTTCCACATCCTTGGGATGTGAGTTGCTGTTTTCCATCAGCTCCATTCTGGAGGGCTGGGAGATCCATGAAGGCTCCAAAGGCAGGTTCTGAGTCCCAGCGCTGGCAGCAAGATCTGTGCTTATCCCAAAAGGGGATTTTTTCATACCCACCATCTCATCAAGACCCAACCTCTGAGCCCCTGAGGTGCTCCAGGGAGGAGAAGGGGCCTGGCTCCATCCTGCTCTTGGGGGGCATCAAGAAGGAACAGACAGGAGCAGCACAGGGGGGATCACGATGGCCCTTGTGAATGCTGAGGAGCTACAGAGTTTCTGACTTGGCAACCGAGCCAGGTGGCCCCAAGCCAGCCCTGTCCCCCTTAGAGGACGGGCCCGTAGTAGGAAATGGCCTCAGTCCAAATTCCCATGGAGAAGCGTTGAGGCATCACCGCAGCCCAGGACTGGATTGGGGCTGGAGCATCATCTTCCTCCAGGCATGAGGAAATGGAGAGTCCATCCTGCAGCCCCCATCCCAGCTGGGCAGGACGGGATGTGGGGATTTGGCAGCAATGGGGATACCCTGGCTGGTGGAAGTCCCATCCGTTCCCACAGCCGTGAGCAGAAGCTTGGTGCCAGGGCAGAGCTCTCCACCTGCCGTGAGCCCACCAGGAAGAGCTGAGCACCTCCGGAGCCATCTCCAGCATGGCAGGGAGTGACTCCAGGCAGAAAATTCCAGTGCCAAAGGTCCTTGGAGGTGTTGAGAAGAACCAGAGGGAGCTGGGAAGAGCCAGCAGCGTGTCCCAGCCAGTGCTGGAGCCCCTCTGCCACGCAGCTCCTGGTCGGAAAGGAAGCATCGGCTGTGCCGGCTCTGAGCCCATTTTCTTTCCAGCACAGAGCAAATTTGTAGGATCCTGGCTCCTTGGATCAAAGCAGGGGCTGGTGACAAGGCTTGACAAGCAAACGGGGAGGCCTGGGAGAGGAGCTGCTGCCAGACTCCGCGCTATGGCACGGCGGGGCTGGCACTGCCACACAGCCAGCTCCACATCCACTGCCACCGTGCCATCACCAAGGAACCCTGCAGGGAACGGGGAGCAGACCCTGCCTGCTGAGGGTGGCTAGAGAGCAGCCAGGTGACAGTGACGGTGACAGTGACAACAGCTGCGCCACCCCGCTCCTCCCCATGTGAGCC